AGCTCGTCGAGGAATTTTCTGTAAAAAATAATAAAACTGTTTGAGAACTAAACTAGCAGTACAATTCTCATGTTTTGAACAGAGATAGATGAAGTGCACAACAGTCCAACAAGTAGTACATATAAAATGTTTTCAATATGCAGTATGGAACTTACAAATATGCAGTTCTCTTCGAACAATCATGCAGTGCTATAGAGTAGCTACATGTAGTACACACCATACAAAATTGGAAAAAATGTAGAAATATGAAGTGCTCAGCTAATATATAAGCAGTTCACATATTCTAACCTGTAAACTAAAACATAAGCTACATGCACACGAGGAAAAAAAGTAAAAACAAGAAAATAAGAACACATTGCAGTACACTTCAAAAAACACAAAGGAAAAAGTGCGTTCCTAAAATACTATAAGTTCAGGATACAATGGAATTATACAAAAAAACACTAAGAAAAAAATCATATCTAACGAAACATACCATCTTGTAGTGAGTCTCCACATCTGTTGGCGTAAGCTGATGGACAAAAGGACTCGTGCAGCCAAGGCCATGGCGAAGCAACGCGGAATAGAACGCAGATACGTTGATCTGGCCCATATCCAATCCTTCTGTGAATACTGTACCATATGCAAGTTGCTCGGCTCGCCAGTTCGGCACAATACCTTCCCACCACGACGAGCACGACGGGCCTGCGAGCAAGTTGAACAATTGCAGTGCGTCGGCACACCACAACCATGGCCGCAGCAGAAGAGACACGCACAGGGGCCTGGAGCCATCGCAACAAAAACCTAGAGAAGCAAAAAAAATAATAGGCTGGAGAAAGGAGAGAACTTGCGGCTAGAGGAGAAAATGAAATGCAAAGGAAGGGTATAAAGTTAGCCTTCATTTATATAAGAGGAATGCAAAAAGGTCAAAACTGAAAATTAAATGGGACTTAATGGAAATTATGTTCCCAAGAATAAAGGACAATCAATAAAAGCTTATGTTACCAAAGGAAGAGGAACGGAAAAAGAAGGTGTACATTGACTGCAGCAATTCCCACGAACAAAACCACAGATCATTAAAAATAATACTCTAAAAAATTATAATCCATGAACCATTTTATGTGTGCAGTTCTCCAAATTCGTACCAGGAAGTTCACTATATGTGTGCATGAAGTGCAGTACGTGCTTTTTGGCACAAAGAAGGATGCACACAGTGCAAAATGTGTACACCTGCAGCACAGAACTATGACGAATGCAGTGCGCATAGGAGCACAAAAGCAGTGCACACCCGTACATAAGAAAAAAGGATACGAAAGAGGAAAAACAATAAAGAAAAATGATACCAATGCAGTGCACAAAAATGTAGCCCAGAAAATGTGCAGTACGGTATGCGTGCACATGCAGTACTGAAACTAAATCATTGCAGTGCACGCATGATTTACTAATAAAAGCAGTGCACGCCCCAACGTTGAAAAAGTAACAAAGGAAAAAAAATTGACCACCCAAGTGCTACCGGCCCCAGCCAGTCTCGTAATAGGTCTGCACCCACAGAAGGGGAGTCGTTCTGAGCCACAGTGCATGGGGCCGGTTGACATGGTCCCACAGGTCATAGAGCATATAGCTGCGAGCGCCGTGTATAAGCGCCCAGATAAGTATACGGAGGAGTTCGACCAGTATGCCTCGCCAGCGCTTATAAACAGGTCGGGCGCGCCTTCCGCGGGCGAGGTGGGACTAAACATTAGGACGCACACACAGCGAAACGGGAACCAAGCCGTGCTCACAGGCCGAATTGGACCCAAGTACGTCTCTAAACTAGCCGAACACAGGCCCAACAAGCCCGACTAAGAAAAAACAATAAGTTTAAAAAAATGGGGGGGGCACCCCCCACCCCCTTTCCCTACCCATCACGTACCAGCGATTGCCATGGGTACAAGCAAAAACAAGATGCAGTACGTAGCTGTAAACAATGCAGTGCATTACGTTACACGATGCACTGAGGTATGGCTATCCAGTTCCCGATTACCCATACACGAATAAATAAACTCAAAAAACAGTGAAGTACGCACATGTATACACAAGTGAAGTACTGATTCTAGAAGATGCAGTGCAGGACTATATACTAATGCAGTTCATTATCGCACAGGATACATGTATAAAACGTAACAAAATGCCCGTTCGCATAGAAAAAAATGGTGGTTAAAAAATGTGCTGATCAAAAATAAAACAAACCCACCTTAAAAAAACCACGTTCGCATTCAACCACCCGATCGGAGTAGTTCCATTGCCACAAGCCCACGATCACAGATGCAAAAACCAACCCACGATCCCCACAACCGCATCATCAGCGCGATCGTGCAGTTCATCCGACCAGGCCATCCCACCCCGCGCCCTCCCCTTAAATTCAGACCCCTGCCAAAGGCCTTCTCATCCACAAACAACACAAGTATCCATTGCGCTCCCACCAAAAGCACCAAGCCCTGCCACCGGTGATGACGTTCACCGACGAGTACAAGGGCGACAACGCCGTGGAGGCGCACTGCAACACCAAGTTGCATGTCATCCACACCAATGACAGGAAGCAGATGGCGATCACCCTCGCGCAGTATGAGCGCCACCTCAGCCTCCAGCGCCACAAGATCATTGGCATTGATCTCGAGTACGACAACGACCCTGAAGCGACGCAGAAACCCGCCCTCTGCCAGCTCTCCATCGGCAAGAATCACCCGGTGCTGCTCTTCCAAATGAGCGCCACTGAAAGGTGCACCGTCTTTGACAACTTCCTCGCTGACCCCAGGTACACCTTTGCAGGCTTCTCAATCAACGGCGACAAAACCAGGCTGGAGCGCGTCAAACTGGAGGTCGCCAACTTCGTCGACATCCAGAAGGAGTGGAGGGTGCCCGAGGCAACCAAGCCGTTGGACTCCCTCGGAGACGTCTACGGCGTGCTCATCGACGACTACTACAACAACATGAAGAAGAAGATCACCGACGACGAGCACCAGCGCTGGGCCATCCTGCCTCTGTCCAGGAGGCACATCGAGTACGCGGCAAAGGATGCCTACGCAGCGTACAAGATATGGAACCCCATCACCCTCACCCAGGACGGCCTTCGTCGTGCAAAGCAGGAGAAGGAGGAGCCCCCCAAGAAGCGCGCCAGGAGCAGCTGGGGATGGGGAGAGCCTGATTGGTGAAAAAGAAGATGGTGCCGGCCAGGAGCCAACAATGCTAGCATTCTTTTAGAATTATCATCAAATTTGCTTTCTGTTGTTTGCTTATGTATCATTAGTTTGCTTGTGTGCTAAACCTAGTTTTCTTGCCATGCACAATCGCTTGTAATGATGAACCCAGATTATGTTAGTTTGCTTTCTGTTCAACTTAGCTTGCTGGTGATGAAATTGTCGTACAGAATGCAAACAGGATGCATGCAATGCAAGTTGCGCATGAATGCAGTACAGAATACAAACATGATCATGCAGTGCAAGTTGCGCACGAATGCAGTACACAATTTGTCGAATGAAGTCTTAACATACCCAATAAAGCAGTGCATGAACATAAATTTTAAAAAAGGAATACATAAGAGCAAAAACACAAATAGAAAAACACAAAAACACGTAAAAGAATTCAATACAGTCCGGAAGTACACGAAAGTACAGCACGGAACCATAATGAGTGAAGTACAGGTATGATTTACTAAGCAGTGCACTCCCATACATTGGGAAAAAGATTACATAATAGCAAAAAGACGGAAGCAAAAGAAAGGCAAATATACATGCAGTACGCAATGCGTACACATGCAGTACGGAACCCTGATCAATGCAGTGCACACTCCAACATTGAAAAAAAACACATAGGGCAGAAAAATAAAAAAAATGACCACCCAGGTGCTACCGGCCCCAGCCAGTCTCGTAATAGGTCTGCACCCACAGAAGGCGAGTCATTCTGAGTCACAGTGCATGGGGCCGGTTGCACATGGGCCCACAGGTCATAGAGCATATAGCTGCGAGCACCGTGTATAAGCGCCCAGATAAGTATACGGAAGAGTTCGACCAGTATGCCTCGCCAGCGCTTATAAACAGGTCAGGCGCGCCTTCCGCGGGCGAGGTGGGACTAAACATTAGGACGCACACACAGCGAAATGGGAACCAAGCCGTGCTCACAGGCCGACTTGGGCCCAATTCCATCTTCACTACCCGAACACAGGGCCAACAAAGCCCACTAAGAAAAAACAATACGTTCAAAAATAAAACATTAAAAAGAAAAATGACAAACATTTTTTAAATGAATAACAACAAACAAAATAAAATGTGCGTCGGCACTGTAAGAATATTAATAAATAAAACGCAGGAAGCCCAATGTCAACGTACAGATGCAGTCAGCGACGTACAACAACGCAGTCCTCCACGTGGAAGCACAAACTATTTTTTTTTTAATTGCAGTTATCTTCGCTCTGCAATGCAGTATGGCTGAAATAAGAATGCATCCCTGTTACTTAACCAAAGCACTCCGACAACCCCTAGCCACACTACCCTCCATCCACACAAACGATGTATTACCACAAAGATCAAGAGAGGAAAAGAAAGAACACCATCAAGAGAAGAAAAAAAAAGTATATCTGTGTGAATCAAACTGCAGTACACTACGTGGACCTGAGCAGTTCGCTTCTGATAGAAAAGAAATGCACTGGCTTGGACAATTGACCGAAAACACAATCATCACATTTTCTAACAGTTGCGTGAATACATTGATCTAATCACGAAAAAAGAGGCGACGACGTTTCGGATTTCCAATGCACTAACAAGAGCCTCCTCATAGCAGAACCTGTTGGCAGTTGCCACGTAAACTTAAAACAGAGCCCCACCACGCTACCGCCCCGCTCCACCTCTCCCACGTCCTGTCAAGGAGAGCAGAGGAGAAAACACAACTGCTTCGTCCCCCCAAAAACCCCAATTGCATCTTCTTCTCCGCTCTTCCTTTCACTAACCTCTCTCTCTATAACAAACACCAGAGAGCACAGGAGAATCATGGCGGATGCACCTCTGTACAAGCAGCGCCGCAAGTACATCAGGGAGCTCCACGACGTCCACCTCCACGGCAATCACAAGCTCCACGTCCTTTGCACAAGCAAGGGCAAAGACGTGGACAAGATGTTGTCCACGTTCAGGAGGAAGCTCGGCAGAATGCCCGTCAAACTAGTCGGCGTTGATGTCGAGTACACACACTACGAGAAGCCACAGCATGCAGCGGTACTACAGCTATGCGTAGAAAAAGAATGCCTTGTCTACCACATATCTGCAGCTAAAGACAGGTAAGAATAACTTTTGCTTGTCAATATTGATTTTAAATTTTCTTCACTGCAATTGCCATAATATTTAACCTTTGGTTCTCATTCTTGAAAAAGCGTGGCATATGAATTTATTGATAGTTTTGATCTGGCTCCATGTATGTCACTCATGTGTTCAATTCTTGAATTATATTATCTAGCAATACATGCAGTTTAATTATATTTTCTTCACTGCAACATTACCATACAAAACATGTATGAAATTAGGTTCAAGAATACAAGCATACACAAAACATGCATTGTTTATACAATCTATTATCAGATTTACTAGTTATGCTGAACAAAGTATTAGCAACTGCTCAATGCAACACATTCAGATATCCATATTGCAGTTCAGTTTCAGAAAAATACAAAAAAACATTGCTAGTTCTAAAGAAATAAAATATATTCACTCTATACAAATATATTGCAGGCCAATGGAACTAGACAAATTCCTGATGAATGATGAGTACACCTTCGTCGGATTCGCTATTGAAGGAGACAAAAGCAAGCTGAAGGTATCTGGTTTGGAGATCAACTCCAACAACTACATTGATATTCAGGTGGAATGGAGAGACCCATACAATAAAAAGAAGTTTGACTCTTTGGCTGATGTTGCTGGCAGGATGATAGACATTGACTACCATGACATGAAGAAAAAAAATTAACCGCAAGGAGGACCATACTCTGTGGGGATTTTGCCCGCTGCCAAAAAAGCTTATCAAGTATGCAGCAATAGATGCATTCGCAACATATGAGTCATGGAGAATCATCTACGATGTCATAATGGGACTGGACAGGGCAAAAAGAGACAAAGAAGAAAAGAAGAAGAAGAACAAGGCTGTAATCCAATACAGCAACTAGAAAAAATCAGGGATGTGTTTAGTCTCACTTTACTTTAGGCGTTGTGTTGTTCTTTGTTTCATGTATGCAAGATTTTGATAATGTCCGTTGCTTGTGCTCAATTGCTTTCGCAGAAATTAGTTTGCATTACTACAAGTATCTACACAACTTTGAAAAATTTAATGAGTGACACCAAAACATACTATGCACGTACAAAACATAACAGTCCACAAAAAATAGTAATTATATAAAAATAAAAATTAATATTGATATATCCGTATACCTTTCTAAACAAACGTGAATACAGTTCACAGAACGAACATAAGGCAGTTCAACAAGTGTATGTGTGAAGTGCAGTACATGCATAAATGAAGAACGACAAGGGCCCCAACACACACACTTGCTACACGAAGTGCAGTACTCAACGTTGGTGTAAGCAATACAAATGACAAGGGCCCCAATACATAAATGAAGAACGACAAGGGCCACATCAAAGGGGACGCGCGCAAAAAAAACCCCGGACCCCACACACCCTAAAATAGACAGGGGGCGACGGGGTATGACGGACTCGCCTACGCATGCGACGCCGCGGCAAGCCGCGTCGCCGCCTGCTCTGGCTCGTTCCAGCCTCGGCCTCGCAGGGGGACGTGGAGGGGGGTCATGACCCCCCCTCCCCACCCCCTGCTCGGCCTCGCGCTAACGCACGTAGTGCGCTTGGTTAACAGGCGCAGTGCGGACATTCTGTTTTTTCCATCAAAGGGGACGCGC